GAATTACAAAACCACACTGACAAATCCACAATCACAGTGAAAGATATTAAAATACCTCTCCCACCAGTTGAGAGCTAGATCAAACAGGGAAAAATCAGTGTGGACACAGAAGAAGGCGCCCGGCTGGCTCTGGCGGAAGAGTGTGTGACTCTTGATCTTGGGGTTGTGGGTTCGAGCCCCATGTTCGGTATAGAGATTACTTAAAAAAAAAAATCTAAAAAGAATCAATAACAATAAACTACCCTTATAAAACTCCGTACGTGATAATTACAGAATGCACATGGACTGTTTTCAAAAACTGGGGGCGCCTGGGTGGCTCAGTCAGTTAAGCGTCCGACTTCAGCTCAGGTCATGATCTCACGGTTCGTGGGTTTGAGGCCCATGTTGGGCTCTGTGCTGACAGCTGGCTCAGAGCCAGGAGCCTGCTTCAGATTCTGTGTCTCCCTCTCTCTCTGACTCTCCCCTGCTCATGCTGTCTCTCTCTCAGAAATAAATAAAAACATTAATTTTTTTTTAAATGACCACATGCGAAGTCACAAACAAGCCTTAATAAATACCAAAAAATTACTATCGGGCCTATCATACTCTCTGACCACAATACAGAGAGAAATCAGCAAGAGAAAACCTAAGCAAATCCCCATGCATTCAAAACTTGAAAATACCCTTCTAAGTACTGACTAGTCAAAGAAGAAACAAAACCACCATACGATAAACCTGGAAGGATATGGCTATAGGAATACTTTGGGCAAAATTTATAGCCTTAAGGGGCACCTTGGTGGCTCAGCTGGTTGAGCATCCAACTCTCTCTCTCTCTTTTTTTTTTTTAATTTATTTTTGAGAGACAGAGAGACAGAGGATGAGCAGGGGAGGGACAGAGAGAGAGTGGGAGACACAGATTCTGAATCAGGCTCCAGGCTCCGAGCTGTCTGCCTAGAGCCCAACGCAGGGCTCAAACCCACAAACTGCAAGATCATGACCTGAGCTGAACTTGGATGCTCTACAACTGAGCCACCCAGGAGTCTCTAGAGTCCTGCTCGATATCCACTCAGGTCATGATCTCAAAGTCATGAACTGGAGCTCCCAAGTCAGGCTCTGCGTAGACAGTGTGAAGCCTGCTTGGGATTCTCTCTCCCCCTCTCTCTGCCCCTCCCCCACTTGTGCTGAATCTCTCAAAATAAATAAACTTAAAAAAAAAAAAAGAGTTTATCAGCAAGCAAAACAAACTCCCTGATCTTGGGACAGGCAGACCTTAAATAAGAAAACAATAGATAATACCTCAGGCGAGAGAAGAGCCAGAAGAATATAAAGGGGTCAGGGGAGGGAAAACTGGGGGCTGCTGCTATTTCAGATAGAGCTGTTAGGGAGGGCTTCTATGAGCCTAAAGAACTGAGCCATCAGCACAGAGCCTGACGAGAGGCTTGAACTTTTTTTTTTAATTTTT